GAGACAACAGTTTCTTTGACACACTATCTGTAGTAAAATTATCAGTGCATAGGGCTTATGGTGGGACAGTAGAAACAGGGATAACCGTTGGACCCGGTACTCGCTGGAACGCACGTGAGTAATGGAACCGTTAGAGATCGGTTGCTTCCGTTGCTGATCGCGTGCATCCGTCAGTCGTGATCAGTGCTGGAATTCAGCGTCACACTTTACGAAGGCCATTAAGATGCCTGTATAAGAGTTTGCGTTTCGTGCCGAATCGCTTCATTAAATCCTGCCGATGCGACAGCTTGTCCTCGCGGATCAAACTCACACCGAAGTTAGCTGGGCCACATAGGCAGTACAGTGTCGGAATTAGCAGAGTCCTTGTGAGCTCTCCATGCTAAGTCCCTCAAAGACATGCACTTGCGTTTTCTGCTCCTCAGAATTGACTTCCTTCTCCTTTGACGCCCTAAGGATTTCTGCTCAGATGCGTGCGCTACCAGTGTGGTAAATGTCCTTGTGAACGTGTCATAGGTGATTTCTGAGGGGCTTTCAGTTAAAAAGCTTCAAGATACCTCTTTAACAATCGTGGATAACAAGTTGCAGTGCGCGACCGCATATACTTTATCCTTCTCCTCCTCAGGATATTCCTCATTAAATACATAGTTAAACAGTAGAGTCACATAGTCACTGCGACCCAGTGGTCTGCTCGTAATTATTCCGTCTACCATGAGTTCTTCGTTTGTGAGCACAAGAGCGAGTATGGACGGCTTGTTAGCAGTTCAGAATCTGACGGGAGAGATCGCCGTGGTTGTACAGAGGGTAGCCGGAAATTATCTCTTGTAAACAGGCTTTGAACTGCATGCTATCGTTCGCCGCTATTTCCAGATCGTGCACATTAAAGTCGCCTGCCAGGAAAATGTGGCTGCATGTCTTGCACAAAACAACCTGAAGGACGTGGTTTAGTTTGGAGTCCATTTCACACATAGAGTTTGGTGGACGGTAAATCAGCTATAAGACATGTGTCTTTGTTCCGCAACCATAGTCGGTGCCAAAGCGAATTTGGGGCACGGATCTCTAGGTGGTCAATAACGACATCGGACGTTAATCTTGTAATAGAGAATTCCGCCACCACCTCTTCCAACTCTGTCATTCCGAAGTATTGACCTACCAGGTAAATTGACTTCAGAATCTGCTGTCTCAAGACTTAACCAGGTCTCCGTAATTATAATGAGATCCCGAGGTTGTGAAGCTTGGCGTTCTCTAAGTTTGGCCCACTTACTAAAGAGACCTTGGGCTTTAGCATACAAACATGATAGTGTTTTTGAGGTTAGAAGTGCGTGCGTAGACAACAAATTCGTGTTCAGCTTTAAGCCGACCGTTCTTCGGTCGGCCGCTAATCGCTTTTGCGTGGGTCATTGGTTATTGAATTTCAGGCAGACTGCATGATAGCATGGAGCATCCCTGATCGAGATGTTCTCTCGTGTGTCTCCCGGTCTCGTCAGGTGTCGCTAATGTCATATTGTCTATAACTCTAAAGGATTGTGAAGGCAAATATTTTATTGACGTTGCATGTTCCAATGAAGTGCTGATATCTAGTGGCCGTGCGCCTGCTATATCTAGCCTAGTCTCGGTATGCAACCCCAGAGCAATGCTTCAACCAGCTATGCAATAGAACTTTTGTCATTCCAACGAGGTGTAGCACGACTTTAAACATTTTCGGACCGCAGCCCTTGTAGTTTGAAGAAGAAGGAATTCTCGTTGGTGATATAGTGATGACCTGATTCAGAGAGTGTGCTTCGCGGATGTAGCACCACTGCTCTCAGTCCTGTTTTTGCGCTTCATGGACAAGAGAGCCCAGTAGTTCAGGAATAATATGAATAAATACGGTTTTCTTGCTTTCGTTCGTAGAAGGACTGCCATGGTTTTGTTTTTCTTTGACCGTCCTTTACCAGGAATATTGGGTAGTACGCGTAGCCCGCTCGATGAGTTGCGAAGGTAAATGGCTGAGAGTAAGACTATCTCTGTATCTTCAGTTGAATTCAGGGTTACTCGAAGAAATCGGGGTTCGCCTTAGTTCACTGAATTTGGGTGACGTGTTACACGTCTCAGCCCAGTTGGGTCAACCATATTACCAATCGTATCGCAGCTAGAATGCCACTGATTGCGATCGTCTGCCAACCTGCACTTTATTGTGCCGGAATTGCACGCAAGAACGTTAGTGCACACGACCGCTAACGCATTGTGGTTCTGTTTAGTGAATGTTGGTTTGAGTGTTGTGGCTGTTAGCTTGCACTGTTTGGCAAGCACTAAAGAAAGTTGTGAAAACGGCGTCGCATTACCCGAGCATGGTCCAGAAAATGGACTTACGGGTGTCTCTTTAATCATTTTTATCGAGGCGATCGATACGTAGGTTACCCGGTTCTGGACTGTTGGTATCGGTGTTGTGACCAACGCGTGAGATATGGCATCTAGGGATGAGTTAATAGCCGTCATGCTGCATGTGTCTCGCCTACTGAACGGGTTAGTAAGTATCGGAGTAGGTGGTGCAGATGCCGTCGGGTGGTTAGCAAACCTGACTTTAGACTTCGACTTAGGGACAGAGCTCTGAGGTGTTTGCTGTAGAGAAACATCCGTGTTGTTAGATTCGAAGGTTAAAGCTATGAAGCTCTCCATCTGCTGGATTGTTTCAGTCAGTTTTTCAAACTTTTCCCTGAGTGATATTGGGATTGCTCTGCATGTTTGGCAAAACCAGAGCGAATCACTCAGGTTGATCTGTCTCTTGTATCGTAATTGACTTAGACAAGCACAGAGGAGGTTGAACGGAAAGCCGCAAAATTCACAAATAATGTCCCGCTTAACTGCTCGTATACACTCCTGCTTCACACATTTGCGGTAAGGTGGAAGCAATTCCATTGATGACCGTTGTTGCAAAAGAACGTTTCCCCTGTCTGGTCACGTGAGGTAGAGGGCGGGTGACGCGCGCGTTCTTTGTCCGAGTCGCACTGTAGACGTCGATTGCCGTAGGCGAGGGTGTACAGTGGGAACACACCTACACGGAGTTTGGCTAGCTTATTGATCCACACTGGTTCCTGTAAGACAAAGCCGTTGGAATTGAACGGGAGTGTGTGGATGGTAGCGACAGGTCCCGGCGATGGGTGAATGTAATTGAAACCACAGGTTGTAGTAGCTTCGTTAGAAATGATCATATGGATATATTTCTAGGACCCCCAGATAGCACGGAGAATCCTTCGTCGAGCACAGTGTTACAGCATTGAAACCCATTAAAACCAACCAGGTGGCGCGTCTGAATGGAAGCACGAAGCGCGCTAACACAACTAGGATAGTACAAATCACTTCCGTAGAAAATACTTCCGTAAAACTATGCCCACTGAACACAGGGTGTTATTCCGATTCAAATGAGTGTATGATGACTGCGCTAGATGAAGACGTACAACTCTGTGACAGAGGAGAACACTTTACTATGCGACTAGCCAGGTGTTGCTTCATATCACTTATAGTAGGCGAACGATTTGTTTCGATGGGTCTCCATTCCAGAACTATTAAAGGCCGTCTCCTGAGATTGTAATCATGGCGCGAGAGTGAATTGCGTGCTTTCTACTTTCCAAAGTTGCAGATGATTTCATCTGTTGGTGGTTATCTGTGTAACTCAACCTCTGCGGCTGGATCAAAGCTTTACTTATTGTCTAGACATAGTTCAATACACCTTGAGGAAAGTGGAAAATCCCACAGATCGCAACTCATCATTTTGTCTACATGACTTACTTGGTCATTTGCCAACCCTCTGTTATATTCACCGCTTTTACCAATGCCTTTCAATGAAGAGTGATCAATGCATTCCCACACACCATTAAATATTTAGGTATTATTAAATCCTTTTTCCGAGTGTATAGTTTTACCGTCGTGCACTGTTTCGATACTTGCTTGGTGGTTATTCTGAACTTATCAGTTTCTTTAGTACAAATAATACACGCAGAGGAAATGCATCGCTACGACCATGCATGGAACTTCAACAGCGAATTTCAACTGCAGCTCGAATCGAGTGTCATATCTGTCCCTGAGTTGCTCGACTAGACATTGCACAATAATGCTGATTTTAGCTAGTCACAGACACTTTTTTCCGGCTTCGTGAGTATCTGCCGTAGCAACAGCGTATTAAGTGTCACAGTGGTAAAGTGGGATTATTTATCGTATCGCGACACATTAGATAGCGTGAGTGGTAAACTTCAGCACTGTGAATCTCAAACAGTAATGTTGGATGATCGAGTGAAAAGGGGCTTTTTAAATCATCCATTCCCCTGCACATTTGTATGTAATGTATGTCGGAGCAGGATGCAAAGTAAATTGACTCGCCAGTAAATGTTGTAAGGGGAAATATGGAGTATTTACGACGGGACTTCAGGACACAACCGGATCCTGCTGGATAGATGCCAGACATTCTGGAAAGCAGTGAACATCCGCTTCATCTTGTGGAGACCCGTCCGCATTGCGCATGTCTTCCACCTGAGCAGGGGATAGAGCTCGAAATCCCAGGATTTGGAGGTTCTGACCAAGGGGGCGTTATTCACAGTCAATGCGACCAAGTAACCGCTGACGAGAGTCAGGTGAACGAAACGGTTTTCTTGTGTACTTTCGGATGGGATTGTTAAGTGGCTAGATGTAGGTACATGGAAATGAATAAAGATGCGGTGATCATTTTTAACGTGTGATACCTCAAGTTCGCGTGTCGCTGAGCTAAAGTGTACTCCTCCGACGATACAGTGCACAATGGTTCGTTTTATACGAACAAACAGGATGCTTTACCATTTGTTGTCTTTACTTCCTAATGAACAGTCGGCCAGTATCAAGTTTTATACCAGAGGGAAAGAACGAGGTGGGTGTCATGTGCCAATCGGTAACACTCCAAAATGGACACCACTGCACTTCCTATCATTTGTAAATCGTATGGAGGAATTATTTTGTGATGAATCGCTTAAAAATCACCTTGCTCATTTTTCTAGCATCCTCAACTCCGGTCTCTATCGGCTTCTGTGTTGCTATGGCTACTTTCCACTTGCCCAGTAATCTGCTGGGCCTGAAGACCATTCTGCTTAGGCACCGAATGAACAGGTAAGTCTCAAGAAAATAGCTGGTTCTATTTTTGGAAAGCCATTGGAAGGTCTTCTGCTACGATATGATCATTATTTTGGGGAGCAATGAGTTTAAGTCACAGTGGAGACCTCAACAAATGTGCATATACTGACAATGTAGGCTATTTTCATTGCTTTTACGCAGGCTTCACGCTATTTTACTTCCGTTGCTTTCTCATGTTTCAACCTTACGATATCCGGTGGTGTTGAGTTACTTTCACCAATTTTCAATACTGATGCAAAAGGTTCAGCGAAGATAACATTTCGACCTTGAACGACTGCATCAGTATTTGGTCGGCACAAACAGTTATGGATGTTTGGTAAATACGTAAAGAGCTCTCTAGCAAACTCAACTTGAGTTGAATTGGCGCATATGCGACTTCGGTGCCTGGGGTTTTTACTAGGGTGATGGTTGTAGAGGAACTTCAGTGTCGTCCATCATAAGCAAACTGATCCATTCGTTTAAGGCTAAAACCTATGCTTTGCGAATGCCAAACAAATTTACCGGCATTTTCTAAAGTAAGAAGGAATTTGACTGTAAGACGGAATCGTGTTAATTATTCTTTCCCGAATGAACCGATTCTCCGTCGTTTCAGCAACGCGCTCTGAATGGACCCTATGGTAGTCATCTACGGGCATTCAGTTAGTAAAACCTGGCATCTGGTAGACAAATAGTATAAAATTGTTACAACATTTAAGTTTATCATCTACGGTGTAGTGATCTGTCTTACGAAATGTAAAGGACAAGCAGGGATTAACCTTAAAGTAAGCAAATACGAAAGTAACACTTTAGTTTGATAGTAAAGTTCAGTCATCTCAAACACGCTGCCGACGCAAGCAAAGCCGTTGTTTACAAAGTTGTTGCTGTAAGGATATATATATATATATATATATATATATATATATATATATATATATATATATATATATATATTCACAGTCGGTCAACAGACATTGTGCCATCAGAAGAAGGGCAGAAAAAAAGCGAGGATGGGAATACGAACTGTGATCAAAAAATATGGGAAATGATTTTTTTGGTTTTACACACGTCATTTTGTACCTTTTTTGTTTTTGTTTTTTGAGTATTGTGTGCGTCAAAGGGACGGTAAAATGGCAGAACAACATTGACGCCACTGATGTCTGTTGCGGTCCATGACATCCAATGTTTCTACTCACTGCGATTCAGCATTTCATGGTCCCCAACCTGGAAGACGGACTAGTCCGACTGCCGCCAAACTTGAGGTTGCCTTCTTTAAACTCCTTCTCCACGTCATTGGCTGTCCACCGTGGCACTTTTTCTAATCGCTCCCTGGGAGTGCAAACAGCGCTTGAAGTGGAAGCCGTTGGGCTGGCATGCGCAGAACGTGCCCGAGCCAACGTATGCGATGTGGGAGAATAACGTCCTGAAGACTGGCACTATTTACTCCAAGCACGCGGTCTCTGACCTCTGCGTTGCTTACGTTGTGTTGGCACCACACCCTAGCAATCCTTCATAGACAGCGATTATCAAAGACTGACAGCTGCTTCATATCTTCCGAGCGAATAGGCCAAGTCACACAGCCGTACAAGAGTACCGCACGGGAGGAAGCATTGTACACCCTGCCCTGGAGCTTGAAACTGACATCACGACGACGCCATAGGTGTCTCAGTTTGATGAATGCAAGGCGGGCCTTTGCAATCCGTTGTGAGACATCATCTCCAACACCGCCACCAGCCGTGATGCAACTCCCTAGATAAATAAAGCAAGGGACTTGCTCCAGAACATGTCCAGCAATGGTGAGCTCGGGTTCAGTCACCTGCCAGTCCAGGAGCGGCGTTTTACATTTATCCGGAGTGAAGCATAAGCCGTACTTAGACACCTACATCGCTAAGCGGTCCAAAGCGCTCTGGACAGTCTGTGGGTCGTCCCCCAGCAAGGCGATATCATCGGCGTAGTCCAAGTCCGTGACTCTGCCTCCAGGAAGGAGCTCAACACGCCAGTCCTGGACACCTCCCAGTGCTCTTTAGATAACATCTTCCATGACGAAATTGAAGAGAATAGGTGAAATAAGGCAACCTTGGCGAACACCGCTGGTCACAGCAAATGAAGTGGAGTGCGTGCCGTAAGCCCTAACTTTGCCCGACGTGTGACTGTAAAGTACTTTCAGGATAGTTACAAACTTGTCAGGCACACCTTTCTTCAGTAACCAGTTCCACAGCGCAGATCTATCTACTGAGTCAAATGCCGCTCGGATGTCCAAAAACCCTACGGTTGTTGGCCGCTGGTGGATGTGACGAAGTTCGAGAACTTGCCGAAGCGTGAAGATTTGGTCGATGCAGCCGCGGCCTGGACGAAATCCGGCTTTTTCTTCTCGGGAAAACTCCTCTCTAGTCGTTGAAAGCCTTCCAAGTAGGACCGACACGACGATTTTGGATGCGACAGAGATTGGGGAGATTCCGCGGTAGTTGCAGCAATCGGCGCGGGAGCCCTTCTTGTGAATCGGAACAATGACAGATTCTCCCCATGAGCGCGGAGCCTTATCCTCAGTCTGAACTTTTGTGAACAGCAATAGGATTTCGCTGACAAGTACACTCCCACCATCTTTGAATAGAGCCGGTGGTAGGTTGTCGAGACCCGAAGCCTTGTGGCGTTTCAAAGATTGGGTTGATTTTCGAAGCTCTGCATCATTTGGGGGGCTGTTGAGACAGGCCAAGCATCATACATTGGGGCTGGAGGTGCCGCAGGGAGCTGTGTTGGGTGATTTAATTGGAGAGCAAAATGCTTTACCCAGCGACCCAATCGCCTGTGAAGGTTGGTGATCTTCGTGCCGTCTGATTCGCAAATCGTCTGGCTGATAGCGTGGAAATTGCAACCAGTGGGCTAGACGATGTAAAATAGACGGCGAAAGTTGCGAGCTAATGCAGCGGCTTCCATCTAACCAGCTTGTTTTGACCACCAAGAGTCACGATCAAGACGCCTGCGCCTACAGAGGGACCACGGGTGTACTGCACAGCAACACCCACAGCTCCATCCACACACACCCCATATCCAGTGTAAACCAGAAGGAATAATACCGGGAGGCACGAGGATGAGAGCCACGTTTCATAAACGGGGTCGGCTCACACTCCATCACAGAAAAACACAAGCACGCTGTATTTGGGAATCAATCGCATACAAGGCGGTGGCTGGACCGTAGTCCCCTCCACACTGTGTTCATGGAACCACTCTTCCAGCATAGCACGGCCACAAGTACCGTGCACCCCGTCCCCTCCAGCAACGACCAACTGTCTCCTGGAGCCAGTATGGACGAGGTTATTGGTAATAGACAAGTAGGCACCTTGTCAACAAGCACGTCAAGCGCAGCCACACCGGGGATATCAAGCAACAGTCAGTCAATTAAAACGACGCCATCAAATAAGATGAATCGAATAATACATACAGATACTGTGACATAACTCTTCACAAATAACCGTATGAAATAGATTGGTTATGAACAAATCCGCGATGAATTCAAGAAGTTCGAAAATATATTTTAAGAAAATGACACAAAGCCGAAAATGTTATCGAAGTTAACAACAATTAGCTTAAGCGACCTGTGCAAGTTTATAGAAGATAGTTCAGGTAGACATTATTAGGAGATACAATAGAATTAGAGCCATATAGCAAACCCACTAGCTAAAATAAAGAGACTCAACATGCAAGCACGCGGTTAGTAAATCGAAGGCAGCGTACCTACCAACGTTGCGCCGGTTCTGACTACGCCCTCAGCAGGACTCGTCGTCGTTTCGATCTTAGCCCAGAGTAGTCTCACTCATGGCTCACTAGGCCTGCCTGAGTCAGGCAGTCGCAACCGCATGTGCTACAGCGCTATGTGCTCTACATCGATGGAGTACAACAAATCGGAGCTTGCCACTTCCGAATGTGCCACTTCTTCTCGGCAAGCATGAGGGCTTTCTCCTGCATCTCAGCAAATGCCTTCGTGATCAGGTCGCGCCTTGCACACCGATCAACCGCTTTCGATTCCCATGACCCGCAATAAAGATTAGAACTTGAGAGGCCCACTTTGATCTTGTCCTGATAATGAGGCTTCTGTTTCCACACCTGCCGCTTCCCAACACTCAGCTGACCAAATAATAGCTGCTTAGACATCTGAATCGAATCCATACACCACACATAAAAGAGCCACTTAAGGTGTCGCAGCAAATGTATGCAGTTCACTGCATACATTCCACTTCGGCACGACACCTACGTGTCTGTAACTCTGTCTCACCAACCGACGCGCAGAATCCGTCGCAAATACTGTTGCTGAAACCGATCGTGATGTCACACATCTCTCTGGTACATCGTCCAGGTTTATCTGCTGTATAGAAGAACGGACAGCACCATGGATTTGTACACCATCAGCTTTGTGCCAGTGGTAATCAGATGGCTGTTGCACACTCGGTACTCAAGCTTCCCGAATGCCGCCGCTGCCTACGAGACGCGGATACGCGGCTCCATGTGTATCTGCTGGTCAGTCGACATCACACTCCCAAGGTAGCAGAACCGGGAAGTGGTTTCCAGTACTTCATTGCTAAATCTGATTTGCGGCAATATTGAAGATTGCACCTCCGGTGAAGGCTGAAACAGACAGACAGTTTTGCTTGTGTTGATGGTGAGCTCGCATTTGGCCGCTGTTGAAGCCAGAGCACTATTCATGTGCTGCAGCTCCTCCGCGTTTTGTGTAAACAAAACACAATCCTCAGCGGACAACATACGGATAGTTGTCTCACAGACTAGCGTTCTCCCACCTAAACTGCGGATGTTCAACAACCCGCCATCAATATGATGCCCCACACGAACACTAAAAACACAAGCCGTATCAAAAGCACAATACATTATGGCACGAAAATATATATTAAACAGGGCAGGAGCTAAGATACAGCCTTGCTTCACACCAGAGAGAACTGCAAAGTCATCCGAGGTCTCTCCACTCAGCTGCAACCTCGCCCGCATAACAC